GGGTCCAACGTGAGTCATATTCCTTTTTAACTGAGACTGTTACAGTTTTACAAACCTGTGCTGCGTAAGTTTATTTCTGGTTTCCACATGTTATCCAGGAGTCTGAGCTGTTCTTCCCCGGTCCAGACGATGATGTCTTCAGCTTCCTGCTTCACTACAAGCTGCTCTCCCTCTCGACTGATGCAGAGTTCCTTCTTTTCCTCTTTAATCGGAGGAGGATCTGGGTCCTTTTGGTCCAGGCTGTTGTTCCTCTCCTGGTCATCCAGACCCTCCTCTTTCTCACAATTCATTTTGTTGTGGGAGGTCTTGAGGAACAGTGGGACATAAGAAAAATGTTACCAATATGATGACAGGAAAATACACTTGTGAGCAAAGGCTGCCTGGATGTGACACGTTCACTCTATCTGCTGTTTAACACGTTAGTGACTTAGAAAACACATTCATGTTAACTGTCACAGTTTAACATGGGCACCAGTCTGCTCAACATGATGTAATATTGTGGCATGATTTACTGCGCCAGTCTGCACGCCAAGATACTAACCCCTAGTTTATTGTGAATGTTAGTGCTGTATAATGAGCAGTCCATTTACATGATTAAATGCTGGAAACAGTCTATTTTGTCCTAACAGAATGTTTTTATTTCAGGATATAACCTGAGGCGCTAACTGACTGATCTTTGTTCGTGCATGAACATGTATTGGTGAGTTCAGAGCACTCTGCAATGATCAGTGTATTAAATGAAGCTTCAGGGCAGATGTGGTGGATCTTATGGAAATAATCTATTGTAACAGACCAACCTACAGATTTTTATCAGAATAATGTCGCTCCTGCCTTTGGTTCTGGTTTGGTCTGCGTCAGTCAGTCACTTTGCAGCTTTGCAGGAGCTGAGTCTTCTAATGTCTGTTACTGTCCTGTATACGCTCAGCATCTGAAAGAAGACTCCATCACAGCTGTCTGAATGTATACAGTTATTATGATCACAAGCTGCTGCTCGCTGTGTGGGAGAGCCTGCAGGTTCAGACAGAGGGAGGCTATTTTGGCCCCTTATTTTTTTTTTTCTGACAGTTTATACAGGCCAAACATAATGTTGCAAAAACACACCTGCCCCCGCAGGCGGCCGCGGGCTGAGGGACAAAGAGCCGACGGTAGCACACTGCTGATAACAGAAGCTTCCTGTCACCGACTCTTTGATTTTAATGTATAAAAACCAGCTTATAGTAAAGTCGCTCTCCCCTGTATCGTATCGGATGCTATATGCTAAAATCCTCCATTTAAAAACAAGAGGAGGACTTGTGTTATTTCTATAAAAACCTAGCTCACACCGGCTCATTGATTTCAGTCTGTTAGCATTCAAACTGAGCTCGTGAGCGCTATGCTAGCTCATTGACACGTCACAGTTTTACACACCTGTTATGTGTCACTCTACCTCAGCTGTCTTTATATCCTGCAGTCTGCTCTGATGGTTGATCTCTCATACCGCACGATTGATTTTTAACCCCCGGTAGTCTCTAATGTTGACAAACTCTCTGAAATACGGAAATGACGCCTGAGCAGTGACAGTTGCGTCACTTCCGCATTTCGCCGTTGGATTTTGGGCAGATTAGAGGCCTCAAAATTCATATTCATAAGTCCAAATGTTTAGGAAGACAACCCTCTTTTTATGTATTCTCCTTTGAACTTGTACAGTAT